ACCACCAGAAAACCCATAACCTAGTCTTCGTCCCCTCCTTTTCCCTCCATCTCTGCTGTTCGAATAGAAGAAGCCGCGCCGCAGCCCTGCTGTTCGAATTGAAGAAGCCTCGGTCTGCCGCCGCGCCGCAGCGCTGTTCTCCTCTTCTCTGCCGCCGCGCCACCTTCGACCCTTCTTTTGCTGCACCACCTTCAACCGCCGCGCCGCAGCCCTGCTCTTCTTTTCCTGCGTACAGCACCGCCTTCTTTTGCTCTTCTCATCAAATTCACCTTCTTTTGCTGCACCGCCTCCACCTCCATCAACACGTACAGCAGCACGCCTCCACCTCCACCAGCGCGCACAGTCTTCCAACTAATTTAGGGTAAGTTTTTTTTTTTGTTAAAAATTGAACAATTATTTTGAAATATGTAATTCTATTATTTTCAATAGCATTTTGAACAATTATTATTAAGAAAATTAAAGTCAAGGAATGTATATAATTTTACCTAATTTTTTTGCATTGGTTGTTTATTTAGAAATTTTGAATACATATTATACATTAGAATAATTTTGTATGTTTAGAGTAATTTTGAATACATATTATAGATTAGAGTAATTTTGCATTACCTTGTACCTTAGTTGAAAAATTTGTATGTTTTAATGGGTTATTTTGAGGTTGATTTAATGATTAATTATGAATATAATAGAGATTAGTAAAAATGTTACTTAATTAGTTGAGTTTTTGTATGTTTTAATGTGTAATTTTAGGTTGTTTTAATGGGTAATTGTGAATATATTAAAGAATTAGTGACCTTGCTTCTAATTAGTTGTGAATAAATTAGAAAATTGTGAATAAATTAGAGAATTGTGATTACATTATAGATTTCTGAATAATTTAGAGAATTGTGAATAAATTAGAGAATTGTGATTACATTATAGTTGAGTTGCCATTTTGTGTTAATATGCTCTTTTGATGTGATTTCTTTCCTTATACACCTATAACTAGATAATATTGACATGTTATGAGATAAATAAAGTTCATTTAATAAGAAATGTAGGAAATGGGCAAAGTAAGGTCATATAGGCCGTATTCGAGCCATTTTGAGTAAAAAGCGTCGTAAACCTTAATAAAATGCTCTCCTATACAATTTTAGGGCTTACACACATACAACTACCCAATATTGACATGTTATGAGAAAGAAATAGTTCATTTGATAAGTAATGTAGAAAATGGGCTACATAGAAGTCATATAAGCCCTATTTGGGCCATGTTGAGTAAAATGCGTTGTTAAGCTTCTTGAAATGCTATATTGATGTGATTTCTAGCCTTAGACACCTAATATTATCCAACAATGACATGTTATGAGAAACAAAAAGGCTATTTCACAAGAAAGGTAGAAAATGGGCTGAATAGAAGTCATATGGGCCATATTAGAGCCATTTTGTGTTAATATGCTCTTTTGATGTGATTTCTTTCCTTATACACCTATAACTAGATAATATTGACATGTTATGAGATAAATAAAGTTCATTTAATAAGAAATGTAGGAAATGGGCAAAGTAAGGTCATATAGGCCATATTCGGGCCATTTTGGGTAAAAACCGTCATAAACCTTAACAAAATGCTCTCCTATACAATTTTAGGGCTTACACACATACGACTATCCAATATTGACATGTTATGAGAAAGAAATAGTTCATTTGATAAGTAATGTAGTAAATGGGCTATATAGAAGTCGTATAGGTAATATTTGATAAAAATACATATTTTTTGCCTAATTAATTATTTTTAAAATAATGTTTTTGTATTTCAAGTTTTGCAAGGTCCAAAAGAATGGTCCGTTGACAATCAAGGAGCTTAATGAATTTCGTGACATGTTGGCGTCTTTCATCACCTTCAACATGTAAATGGCATGCATTGTAATTGTAAATTATTTATGTTAACTTTTGAACTATATATAACTTATTATTCATTATATATGTGTACTTACTATTATTTGTATATGTAAGCAACTGTTTTTTTTTTGTATTGCGTTTGGGAATATATATATATATATATATATATATATATATATATATATATATATATATATATATATAATTGAATTCTTGTATCTAATATTATTTTTGTATATAATAATTAATAATATTATTATTAGTTATTATAATAATAAAATTATTAATTATTATATTTAATATAATTGCTGGAATTACAGGTTATTATTATTGCAGGTTGTTTTTAAAAAATATTATTGCACGATTGAAAAAACAAAAAAAACGAAAAAAAAAATTATACAAAAGGCACCGGTTAGGCAGGAACCGGTGCCTAAACTATCCACCACCCAAAAAAAAATGGCGGGAGAGCAGTTTTAGGCACCGGTTAACCGGTGCCTATTTCACCCTATGGCATCGGTTAACCGGTGCCTATTAAACCCTATGGCACCGGTTTTGAACCGGTGCCAAATAGCAGGTTTTTGGCACCCCTCAAATAGGCAGCGGTTCAAACCGGTGCCTTAGACCGGGTTTGAACCGCTGCCTAATGCCTTTTTTCTACTAGTGAAGCTTCCAGGCAATGGCATACAAAGCTGAATTCCGAGTTGCAGAATATGGGTTATAAACAGTCTAAAAATGACTATTCTTTGTTCCTTAAGGAGGTTGCAGATGATATCACAGTAGCAGTGGTATATGTTGATGATATCATAGTGACAGGTTCAAATGAAGCAGAAATACTTTGGTTCAAGGAACATTTACACTCAGTGTTCAGTATCAAGGATTTGGGAACATTGAGTTATTTTTTGGGGATAGAAATCTGTAGATTGCAGAATGGTATTGTGATGACACAAAAGAAATTCACAAAGGAGTTGCTTCTTGACTGTAATATGGATGTTTCAAAGGCTGCCAAGACTCCCTTACCTGCAAATGTGAAGCTTATGATTGATGATGGAGAATTGTATGCAGATCCTGAACATTACAGGAAGATAGTAGGGAAGTTGAACTTCTTGAGTCACACAAGACCAGACTTGTCTTTTTCAGTACAAACTCTTAGTCAATTCATGCATCAGCCTAGAGTGCATCATGTGCAGGCTTTGAATCATGTGTTGAGATATGTTTCCCATACCTTGGGTCAAGGAATTATTTTGTATGCTGCAGATCACTTGACTCTGACAGCCTATTCAGACTCAGATTGGGCAGCATGCCCTAATACTAGAAGATCTGTAACAGGATATGTCTTGTTGTTGGGCAAATCTCCAGTATCTTGGAAATCTAAGAAGCAATCGACTCTTTCCAAGAGCTCAAGTGAAGCTGAGTATCGAGCAATGGCTTCAGCATCTTCAGAGACTACTTGGTTGGTTAGGCTTCTTACAGAATTGGGTGTGACAGATCTGAAACCAGTGACTTTGCATTGTGATAATCAAAGTGCTATTCACATTGGTAAAAATCATGTGTTTCACGAACGTACCAAGCACATCGAAATCGATTGCCATTTCACTCGTGACAAAGTTCTTGAAGGATTGATTCAGTTGACATACACTCCTTCAGTAGAACAGCTTGCAGACATCATGACCAAAGCTCTGGGGTCATTACAGCATAATAAGCTGAAGTCCAAGCTAGGCATGTATCCAGATACAGTCCCTAGCTTGAGGGGGGATGATGATGATGATAATCATCATGACACGTCAGATGAAGAGTCAGCAATAGTTTGTTAGAACTCTGTAATACAATAACATAATGATGCGTTTTTGTAGAAAAGGTTGTTAGCTGCTTGTAACAAACTTCTCTATAAATATCTGTAAGCTGTCCTAAGATCATTTTTAATCAATCAATAAAAATCTCTTTTCTCTCTCTCTAATTTTCTCTCTCAAGATAAAATGTTCTTCACTGTGATTTTCAATAAAGAGAAAATAGAAGGTAAGCTGAATTAGCTAATGCATACACAACTAATACTTAAATCAATGTTTGTATTGCAGGGATGCGCCCCTAACAGAGTTCGTGCTTAGTTTTTGATACTGGAGTTCGAAATAAGGTCCCCGATTGATTTACGGAGTACTGTATGTATAGAACTATTATTAATGTCAAGTGTGTGTTATTTGTTGTGAATATTATACATGAGTACAATTATTAATTCAAGCGATTGTAACTTTTTTTTTCCTCCTTACCTTTTACAACATTTGAGAGACTTTTATAAATGTTGTTTGGATAATTTATTTACCTGTTTCCTTTATGATTGTCTCTTTTATTTTTATAATACTGTGAAGACGTTTATAAATCTAAATATAGTAGTATTTATTTACTTTACAAATTTTTATATGTGACTGGTCACATAGTGTGTCGGATCATGAGTTACTCAGTTGGTCATGGTTTAACCGATTAAGGGTTACTTGGTCGGCCAATGGTTATGGCTTAACCGATTAAGCTTAACCGATTAAGTGTTAATCGGTTGGTCATGGGTTACTCGGTCGGTCAAAGATTACCCGGTTAGTGTTAAGCTTATTTGGTGTGACTAATCACACTGTGCAGCAAGCTAACACATACCAAAACACTGATTGGGTAACTCCTTACCGATACGACAACCCCTAATCGAGTAATTGCAAACCGACTTATTAACCCCTGAGTAAATAAATTCTGACCGAGTAACTCCTAACTGACCAAGTAACTCTAATCGAGTAACTCCGACCACAATGTGTCACCGTGTGCTAAATAAATGAAACCATTACACATTTTACCTTTTTTTTTTTAAGGACATTACACATTTTACCTGGATGTTATCAAATCTATAATCTATTATTTGCACCGTCACTCGTTGTTCTAATAACCAAACCCATAAAACGTACTGATTACGATTATGATCATAAATAATACTTCCTCCGTTCTTTTTTTATCGCATCACTTACTACTTTAGGAAGTTTACTTATTATTGCATCATTTCCTTTTTAGGATAAAAAATATCTATGTTCATACTGCAAATACCCAACATACCCTTACTTTTTCACACTTACTTTTTATTTTATCTTACATTACATGGACAATTTTGTATTTTTACGTTTCTCTCTCTTACTTTTTCCCACTACTAAATTTTACCTCCAAAACCCCTATGATGCAATAAAAAAAAACGGAGGAAGTATCAGATTCCTCCTTAGCTAATAAATCCAAATCTCCCTTCTACATTAATCTTACCCCAAAAAACAAAATCACCCTCAATTTTGAGCTTTCAATTTCATCATTCACTCTTTAATGGCAGCTCAAACTTTTTTCAAAAAATTCTTCATCTTTTTATCACTAATTTGCATAATTTCAAATGCCCAATTACAATCAAAACAAGATGGGTTTATTTCTGTATCAATTTCAGAAAAGGGTCTTGATTTTCTCAAAGATTTATTGACTGATAAAGCAATTTCTTCTCTAACCCCACTTGAACTTCCCCCAATTGAGAGAACTGTAAGAATTTTACTTGTGGGAAGAGTCAAAATTGTTCTTTCCAACATAATAATTTATCATATTGATGTTCTTTCATCAAATGTTGAAGTGGGTGATGATGAAATTAGAATCAAAGCTTCAAAAGCAACTGCTAATTTAAGTATGGATTGGAAATATACTTACCAGAATTGGTTTGTTGAAGTTTCTGATCAAGGAAAAGCTTCAGTTGAGGTATTAATTTTATCACTCTTCTTTTGTTTTTACACTATGTCATGATGTTTAATCAATGAGGGTTGTCGAGTTTATAACGGTTATAATTTTATCATTCCGGTATGATTTTACTGTAACTGTGAACTGTTAGATGAAACTTTAGGCATATTTGCAATTTCCTCTTTCTGGGAGGGAAATGTTTATCGACAAAAGCAAAGATTAGTCTTTGTTGGAATGTAGTTGTATTAATGGATTGCTAGAAATTGTTGTATTAATGAATATTGGATCGATTTAGCTGGACTACATAGCAGGCAAAAAGCTTGGATTAGACTTTTCTGATAGCTATTGTCAGGTTTGTTGATTTGAGAAGATTGCAATTGACTGTTTTATGTTCATTAAGAATCTGTAGAGAGCAGTTTTTCCAGCTGTTTAGACTGTTGATTTGCAATTGACTGTTTTATGATTCGGCGAAAATCCTGCTTATGTTGTTGGTGCTGTGGTGGTTTGTGTGTGGATATGGTTTCCTTCACAAGTTACAAGAGTAAGCATTCGGAGCATATGTTAGCTAAGAGGGAATGAGTGATGATTCACTTGACTTGTAGTGATGATGCGTCTTACAGAGTATGTTGCAGCAGGTTTAAAGAGAAAACTAGGGCATTCTTCTTGCTATTTTTTGGAGAGCCTGATTAGTAGGTTTAAGGAGAACGTGTAACATTGTTTGTTATTTTCTTCTTGTTCATATTTTTTGTCTAGATTACTGTCAGATGAGCGAAATTTGCAAATGGATTGAGTATTTCTTAACTATCTTTCCTGTTTGATCAAGATTTTGAATGGTTAAAGCATAGTAGATGATATTGATTTTTGTGTTATTGGTCCAACGGGATTGATGCAAGTTAAAAAAATAAATAAATGTCTTTGTGCATATTCCTAGTCAGTAGCTAAATGTAAAAGTCGTGATCTTTGGGAAGGAAGAGGAAATATAACATTTATCATTCATTATCTACCTCTATCAGTTGTTACTAGGATATATTGAAATTTTTATATACAGACTCCGTTGAAGGATTTATTAAACTTCAGAAAATATTTATTAATATGCTCTTTTATCAGTTATTGGGGAAAGACATTGATTAGAAAATGTAGGCCTATCTGTAGCTTCCTGTGTTGGAGGGATCAGTGTGTTGGAGGGATCAGGTATGATATAGACAAAAGCAAAGATTAATCTTTGTTGGAATGTAGTTGTATTTATGGAATGCTAGGGACTGTTGTATTATCAAAAACTCAATTGGATTAGCTGGACTGCAAAGAAGACGATTAGACGAAAGTTTGGTTTTGACTTTACTAGTAGCCATTGTCAAGTTTGTTTAATTGGGAAGATGAAATTGACTGTTCTCTGCTCCCTGGGAGTCTCTAGAGAGCAGTCTTTCTAGCTGCTTTAGACTGTTTGGAGATGATATAATACGTAGTATAAAAAATTTATACACATGATTCCATGAAAACCCTGCTTATGTTGCTGCTGCTGTGCTGCGTGGTGTGTGTGGACATAGTTTCTTTTACAAGGTACAGTAAATTTGTCGAAGGTTTTAAGGTGAACTCGGTCATTCTTTTTCCACGAGATTTTGAGGAGCCGTCATATTGTTTGCTTTATCTACTTGTTCATTTTTTTTTTTGGTCTAGAACTCTAGATACTGTCAGATAAGCGGAAGCATATGTTGCAAATGAATCAATTTCTTCTTAACTAGATTTCCAGATTGATCTTGATGTTGAATGGTTTAAACATAGTAGATGATATCTGACTTGTGTTATTAGTCCAATCGAATCAAAGCAAATGAAAATATATCTTTGTAGATTCCTAGTCAATGACTGAATGTACAAATTATGATCTTTGCGGAAAAAGGAATATAATGCTGATCAATCATTACCTACCTCTATAAGTTGATACTAGGATATATGGAATTGTATTTTTACAGAGTCCTTTGAAGGATTTATTTATTTATTTTTAAAAAAAATTATTCTCTATTATCAGTTTTCGTGAAAAGTAATTGATGAATGTTACTTTTCCAAAGGTTCAAGATATGGAGGCGGGCTTAAAGTTAAGCTTGGAGAACCAAGGTGGTGGTCTTAAGTTGTCCCTCCTGGATAGTAGATGTGACGTAGATGACATCGATATTCAGTTAGATGGTGGAGCGTCATGGCTATATCAAGGGTATGGTTTTAAGATCTTGTACTTAAGATCTTAACTCGGTATCTCACTTTAATTAATTTATTTATTTATTTATTTATTTATTTATAATTCATGAGCTATTACTTCTCAAATAAGACTCCAAATATTGTGGCCTTGAAGTCCCTGAACTGTTCATAGAATGGTTTTAACAGAGTGCATGACTGCATGTGATGCTTAACTCGCAGGGTGGTGGATGCCTTTAGTAACCATATCGAATCAGCAGTTGAGAATGCTATTGTAAAGAAACTTAATGAAGGGATCTCAAAGATTGGTTCCTTGTTGCAGTCTCTTCCTACAGAAATAAAAGTGGATGAATCTTCTGCGTTAAATGTTACCTTTGTTGGAGATCCCACCTTAAGTGATTCTTCCATTGGTTTTGTGATAAATGGGTTATTTATTCCAAGGAATGGAGCTCTGGCCACCCCACATCAGCACCGCATATTACAAACTTCAGTTCCATGCTTTACTCCTGCTAAGATGATAGCAATGTCATTGCATGAAGATGTTTTCAACTCTGCAGCTTTAGTGTATTTCAATGTAAGTCTTTTTGGCTTGATATTTTCGTCTCTTGTTCCTCTGGGTCCCATTATGAGTTAATCTTGATACCTTTCTGTTGCCAAGGCATGCTGTTTATAATAAACTTCATTACTAACCTCTTGTCAATATTGGTTAGTTATGTTTTTTTTTTTTTTTTTTTTTTTTTTTGTGAATTATTAAACAATAAATGACACAAAAGCATTAATGAAATGTATATTGAATTGTGCCTTGAGGATGTAGTTTTTCTATTTAGAAACTATAAAAAATTACGTATCTCTCATCTTTGCAAAAAACACATTTGGAAGGCAAAGCTACAATCTATGATAAACTCAAGAAATCATCTCTTAGCATTGCAGATATAAGATTAAGCTCTTCTAGTTTCCTTTTTCTAATATATTTGGCTTGCACACTTGTAACAAGCTGAATACTACAAACTTTACTAGTTCACTGTGTCAAACAATCTTGCTCAACTCCCTTGCAGCATGTGATGTAGGGCCGAAATTAACTACATTTTTCTGTAGTTAGGCAGGTCTTATGGAGTGGAGAGTTGACAAAATACCAGATCAGTCTCTTCTGAATACTAGCGAGTGGAAAGAAGTTGTACCCCAACTTTATGAGCAATATCCCAATGCCAAAATGGCTTTGGACTTATCAGTGGCTTCTCCTCCATATGTGCACGTGTTTGATGATGAAATGGAAGCAACTATCAATGCAGAAATAACAATTAATGTTGTGAGTGATGGGGGAGCGGTGCCAATTGCTTGTGGATCTGTGGTAAGTTTATTTATATAGCTAATGTGGTGCCTTAGATTACATACATCTTTGCCAGTATTAGTGCCAACCAAGGAATTTTTTGAATTTTCTGCTGAACTACTTGTCCTTCCTCTCTTAACTAGCATGACATGATTTGAAACATACCATATAATACTTATTTCTCAAATCTAAATCTTAGACATAATCTTTGCAGCACACATTTAATGGGCTAAACTTGCAAGTTTATGATGCAGGTAATTAGTTCTTCAGGTTCCGTTGTAATCTCAGGGAATAACCTGACAGGCAACATTGAACTGGATAAGTTTAATTTGTCAGCTAAATGGAGTAAAATTGGTGATCTGCAGATTGATGTAATTGAGGTATGCCCTCTGCTCCCATTGCCTGCATGCAAGATTAATGGTGAATCTGTTAGCAATCTGGTCAAAGACAGAAACCTTTTGCTGTTATTTTTCGCTAATATTAAAAAATTACAATATGATGTTATGTTTTCCGCAAAAAGCTTTTCCTGAGTACTGTATTTGGGAAATTGAGGATACTAAAGAGAGGAGGGGATCTTCTAAAAAAAAAATAAATAAATAAAAAAAAAAAGAGAGGAGGGGAAGTCACCGATCCCTCATGTTTGTACATTTAAGAAGCCGAGGGATTTGTGGTTTTCTAGTAATTAAGAGTGAAGTAATAAACCAGACATCTAGAGAGGTAAAACTAGGATTACTTTAAAAATTATATTACAAAGACAATAAAGTTTTTAGATCATTGCTTAGATTTCGATAAATTTTTATAATTTATATTGATCATGTTTCATTTTTTTTAACTTGTGCATTCACACAAAAACTAGTAGAGTAGTAGTGATGTTATTTCTAATCTAAACTCTCCCAATAAATTAAGCAAGGGCATACTAGGAAAAATTCAATCATAAACCATACTATAAAAGACGTGACAACTTTTTCAGACATCCATCGATAATACAAGTGACCATTAAATTTAGACACTATGTTTTGAATCCAAACATAGTACAAGAAACCTTTATACAACTATTCAAGTATGACCTAAATGTTCTTGTAGGTGTCGAATTACCCTGTTAATGGCTAAGTACATTTTAGGTTTTCTTATTCTTTATCTGGTCTTTCAAATGTAATCTTACTTCCCTCCCGGGTCCATGATTTTTAACTAAGGACATTAAGTACTAATAGGACATCTTAATTACCTTGGATTTGTGGTTTTCTAGTATGGTGACTTGGTGAGATTCATACGAGGATAGGATTATTGGTACCAAAGATGATATAATGGAGAACCTTGCTCTTAAATATATCTCCAACTATGTCTAAGAGACTAAGACAGTTATAACTTATAACGTTATGTATCGTTTAACTATTATATGGGCACTATATTGCAGCCAGTAATCGCAGAGGTGCTAAAAGATGTGCTACTGCCACAATTGAACATGCGTTTGATAAAAGGATTTCCTTTGCCACTGATCCATGGCTTCACTCTTCAAGATGCAGAGATTGTCTACTCTGATTCTGTAGTTACTGTTTGTAGCAATGTCGCATTTACTGAAGATCAGCTTCTGGCAAAACATAGCTTTAGAGACATGTTTTCTTTCCGTTTGTTCATGTGAAATATACTTCAGTATCCATTGTGTCGTTGTCCCTATTGTAACTTTTTGTATCTGTAATTTCCTTCTCCTGGTTGGATATTTCTGTATTGTAAATCAATAAATCAGAGAAGTCGTCTGTACTCGTTCTTTTGTTAATACGAAGTATCCCTTTTTTTCACCTTAATTCATTTTTTGTGTGCTATGTTGAACAGACATTGTTAGAAGTTAGAACCGAACATTTCCGTGTTTTCCACATGAAGCTCCTTTCATGGAAACTTGATGGCTAAGCGCCAAATTGCATTTTGAAGAAATAAAAACAGGGCTTAACTCCTTGGAGAAAAGTTGTGGCATTGGAATTCAATTGTTCATGCAAAAGAAAAAAAACAAAAAAAAAAAAACATGGGATTTTGTTATAAATGGGATTCAAAACTCCCATTCTCCATCCGGCCATCCCACATTCCAACTTACCAAACACCCCCACAAGGTCTGCTTACAAGGGGAGGGATTATTATTATTGAAGGGTATATTTCTACTAGTTAAAGGCAAGTTTGCCCTTAATGAAAGAAATGAAGAACATTAGTTAAAAGGATATTTTGGAAATTTCAATAGTTATTTCCAATAATTCTCATAACAAATCAAATGAAAAGTTTGTTATAATGAATGTCATAAAAAAAATATTAATAATAATAACAAATAAAAAACAATCATTAAACAAATAAAGATGGGAGAAAACTAAAGAGATATCTAGTTATAATTGAGAAGTTATTTTCGGTTTATCATCCATAACTGAACTCCAAATCCGGATTAGACTAAAGGGTGAATCGGGGTGGGAGAAGGGTGTGTTTGGTGAAGAGCTATTAGCTTATTTTGTCCAATTAGATATTTGACTAATTTAAAAAGCTAATTTGGGTGTTTGGTAAATAGCTTATTAAAAGAGCTTCTTAAAAAAAAAAAAAAAAAAGCTTATTAAAAGAGCTTTTTGGGCTCAAAAAACTCTTTTAGAAAAAACTCATTATAAGAGCTTTTTAAAATTAGCTCATTGTACAATTAGCTTTTTTTCTATTAAATACACTAAAACAACTAACAATTAACAGCTAATTACCAAACATTTTCACACAATCAGCTAGTCAAACCAGCTAATACAACCAGCTATTAGCTAATTACCAGACAGGCCCACACACACACACAAAAAAAAAAAAAAAAAAAAAAAAATTATTACGACTCTGTATAAAAGAGGCCAGCCTTTCAAAGGTGGGCTTGCAAGAAACACCAATCCAACTCAAACTAAAACCCAAGAGAAATAAAACAAAGTCCGAAGAAATAAATCAATAAAAAAATATAAAAATAAAAAAAACCCCTAAATTAAGTTTCTCTCTCATCAGTTTTCAATTCACCTGCCTTTTTTTCTCTCTCTTCTTCGTTTTTGGTTGAGTAATCAAATACTACTACCAATCTCTCCTTCAATTTTTCCAGACAATTATACTAGTACTACAAATTCCTCTCATAATATCAATTTTACCCGCCAAAATAAGGTTTCATTTTTGCTCGATTCTTTATTTTTAATTTCTCAATTTTATTAACGTCTTTCTTCTTCCTCTTTTTTGAGTTTTTCCCTCTCTTTCTCTCTCCTCCTTCCTCTCACTTTCTCTCTCCTCTTCCTTCAATGGCGGCTTATCTCTCTCTTTGCTTGTTTTTTTCTCCATTGCAGGTACTTCGACCTTTGTTTCTCGCGCTTTCTTTGTCTTATGGATGATTGTTTGCCGATTTCCGGCGACATCGGCGGCGGCGGTGGCGGTGGTGTGAAGCGAGCGATGGAGGTCGAGGTTGCGATTGACGGCGGCGGATGTGGTGGTGGTGGTGAATTGGTGACGGCGAAGAGGAGGAAGAAGGATGTTGTGGAGATGAAGAGAGTGGCGGAGATTGTGCTTGTGTTATCTGCTTTAGGAAGGATGAGAGCTGGAAGAGATCCGACGGTTGCGGAGAAGGCGATGATGGCGGAAGCTAGGGGTAAGGTTGTGTCTATGTGTGAGGAATTGGCTCCTAAAGATATTCTTCCTACCGAAGCTTTTGGTGCTGTGATTGAAGATTTAGGGCTTAATCGATTGAAGGATCGAAATGTAGGGTTTCGCCCTCCAAAGATCTCGATTTCGGATAAGATTGCTCTTAGTAAGCGCAGGGTGAGGTTTTTGTTCGTCGTTATTTTATTAATTTGAGTTTTGTTGGTTTTGTTTTTATACTTGCTAGTGATTTATTTAAGTTTGCTATTGAATTAATGTTGTAATTTATGCTGAATCTGAGAAAGAAGGGTGCTACTTGTTTGATTTAAAGGTTGGAGGAGGACAATGTCGATCATTCAAAAATAATTGAATCTATGTGACTAAAGCTTTGATTAAAGCATTAGGTTTAAATTTGATAATTTTCGTGTTTGCTCGATAGGGTGTCGTATTAGTGCATTTGTATGTAAATTTACATTCTTTATGCTAATTTACTTTGCAATGCCACACATAGCTTATTGTTATTGTTGCATCTGTTTATTACTCCGTCCTTATCAAATTAAATGCCCTTGTTTGACCTATGCATTGTTCACACACACCACTTTGACCTTTGTTTGACATAATCGTGACATTTATTGTCCATTAAAACATGAGGTTTTAGAGATATTGATTCATTGTACTCGTACTTGTTAGTGATATGAAATATACTCAATACAGGAAAATATATTTGTGTGATATATTGCCTTTTTCATATTGATATTGGGTTAATTAGGATATCTCTAGGATATTTACTTATTTAGGATTTAACTTCTGGAGAGGTAAGGTGTTATGATTGTTTCCTAATCACCTAGATTGACTAGGTTATGTCTAGTCTATATACTTGATGATTTATTCAGTAATATGAGAAACCATACTCTTAACTCTTTACCCCAAACTTGTGAAAACATATATATTCAGGCATATTTAAATTTAGTTACTTAATTTAAGTTGCATTTTGATTACCTCGTACCAAACGAGCCATTAGTTATGTTGAGTACTGACTACTGAGGCCAGCCTGAGAGCTATTCGGCTTTAAATGTAAAGGTAATTACTTGTCTGTTTGGGTCTGCTCGGTCCCTGGAATCTAGAACTTGTCATTAAAGCTTTAATATGAAAAATCAATCTTGCTGAGTGTCAATCTGTGGTTGCTATTAGCTTTGCCTGTTTGTTTGACATTATAGTTCTGAGTAGCATGTGCTGTTTTTGATAGGAAAAATAATCATTGACAGTTTTGTTTGGCTTTTTGTGTGGTCTATGATAAATACTACGGTTTTGGTTTTAGTATTAGATTATGAAGGAGTAGGATTTTTTATTCCCAGTTCAGGATAAGAATGCAACTGTCTTTTTGCTCGTGTTGTGTAGTAGGCTGTGCTGGTAAATAAAATTTGGAATTGCTTGACCTGATAGTTCTATTCTGTTTATATTGTTTATTTTTATTACTAATGCTATGTTCTTTGAGATAGCCCAGTGAGGATAGTTAAATCTGTCATGCATGCAAAGTTGCAGACCTATTAGCCCTGATCAGACTACTTTCTGTTCCTTTGATATATATTGTAGATGGAAGAATCCAAGGCGTTTGCTGCACAGCCTTCTACATTTTCATCTCAGAGAGTGCAAACTGCTACTGGGGCTGTTGGTGAGAATCGTGGACCAACTTCCGCAGTCCGTGGGTTCCCTTCTGATAAAGTGGGTCATGTGCCTGTGTCCACAGGAGCTTTTCAACCTCCTACTACTGTTGCTAGTGTTTCTTCTGCAGCTTCTATGCCCGTGCGGAAACACCCTTCTGGCACTGAAGCTCGCCCTCCAGTTGTTTCTTCAGTTCCAAATAATATGGGAAGGGATCCGACGTCTGTGATGCCTCCTAGACTTGATAGAGCTCACATAAGACTTGACGTCAGACCGAATGGGCAATCTTTGCCTCATGTTCCAGGTTTGTTATTTGCCGTTGCCCATCTATTCTGATAAAGTTCGATTTTATTTATAACTCTTTTCCTTCTTTGTTAGATGTGTTGAGTCATGATTGCATGATGAGCTAGTTGCCTAGTCATACTGCTGCTATTGACTTGTTCTAAGTGCTTTAATTTTTTTTATTGGCTGTTTACATTTCTATAAAAATGCATAATATTAAGCATTTGTTGCTGAAACTATAGGTGTAATAAATTATTTTCTATTGTGGCATCAGATTTCATTTAGTTGCCTTTTACAGATGTATAATCTTAATAATTATGACATATTCAGTAATTGTGGTTTTTTGAAGGTTCTCTTGTGGTTAGTGAGTTTTGATCAGTTATAAGGACAATTGCACATTGTTATTGAGATGTATCTTACAGTGTAATGGTTTGAATGTGTCTGTTTTACTGAATTTTTGGGTTCTTTTGTTTTACTGAATGTATCATACAGTGGTTATCAGTTTTCATTTAGTGCCTTAACAATTACTGAATTTTAAGGTTACTGAGATATTACTGAGTCCTAATAACTGATCAAAATTCACTAACCACAAGAGAAATAAATTAAAAAATTGTTCTTTTTTTTTTAAGCACCAGTCACCTGTTTTCGTACTACTAGACATTGATTAAGAAAATAATTGATAGGATGATTGCCCATTGTATCATAATATGGGCCTTACACCATTATATACCCTTGTTTTACTATGAGTCACATTATTGGCCAGGGGCATTATTCATATAAATGACATCAAGTTTGTAAGATACAAAGGATTGCTTTATTTGATACTTCATGAACGTGCACTATACAGCAATGTGTTATAATCATCCTAAGTGTACACGCAATTTTCTAGATGTATTAGATTTTTATCTTAGGATGTGTGTATGTGTGTGCGTGCTTGTGGCATTAAGAAAGTATTTTTTTTTTTAATTATTAATATCCCCATGTAGAGAATATAGGTCCCCTTTTTTTTTTTTTACCTTTGTTGAAATAAGGTCTTAAGTAGTATCACCTGCCAAAGTAACCTGAAATCCTGTGCAGCTGCTGGTTGTTCTGGTACCTGATATGTACACATATGATGAGCTATAGTTTAGAAGGCGCTTCATTTCTTAGAAAGGTTTTGTAAGTTTTTGACACAATAATAGTGCTAGAAACAAAGCGATGAAGTGGGTTTCTTCCTGTAACAGGGATTGACTTAGCAAAGAGGCT